CTGCTGCCATCCCTTTCTGCCTGTCTTGCGTCCATCCGTTTCTGTCTCTCCTCAGCTCTCGCCTTCTCGTCCAACATACCTTGATATTTCTCAACCCAGCGAGGCTTCGACAACCTATCCACCAGTCTCATGTCCCTGACCTGGATCGTCACCCTCTTCGAATGGATGGCCACCTCGTTGGTGTTCTCGAAATTGGCGACCAGGTACGCCTCGGCAGCCTCCATCAAAGCACGCACCGCCATCATCTGAAACCTCACGCCCATACCCTGAGCAATGTCCCGCTCCACAACCTCGCGCACGAGACGCAAGAACGGCCTGAAAGCCAAACAAAGGTCGGTGGATCGTTGCAACTTTCTGATTTCCCACAAAGTTGCCATCCCGGGGCGTCGACGGCCTCTGGGGACCTGAGTTCGTGCACCTGCGGTGTCTCCGGTCCCTGGCACCGCCTTCGGGTTCACCTTCTTTCTGTCTGCGGGTGTCTGCCCACGTGGCGGTCCCAGCGTGCACTTCTTCTTCTTCCCCGGGCTCTGCGACATCGCAACATCGCTCGGCCCGCCCATGTCACCCTATGCCGCAGAGCACCCCCCGACGTGACCAGGACCACATGGGCCCTCCACCTCAGCAGACAAACGGGAAATTTATGAGCGTTTCTCTGTCCTCTTGCCTGCCTGCGCTGAACCTGGCAAGCCATCCTCCGACAGATACCGAATGTCTCACAGGAGTCCATCTGAGTAAGTCAGATGGAAAGGCACACCAAGCAGGTCTCTGAATCTCATGGTGACGTCTCCACCATGCTCATATGTCATTGGACATACGACCGGGACCCAACCAAGAACGGTTGTGCAACCGTGCCTGTGGCGAATGGGAGCCATGTATCTGTTCTGACCGTCGCCGTGCGCTTGGGCCTTACAACTCCCCTCAACCATGGACCACATCCCCTGGTCAGCCATGGAGTCATAACCCGCGCACACCATCTGACGCTCCTCCTTCCTTATCTTCTCCCAGCACCGCTTTGCGTGTTCAACCACCACACGTGCCAGAACCACGAGGAACTGCCAATGCTCCACAATGCCTGCATGCATCCATCTCAATGGGAGCCAATGCGCTGATTGCAGTCTTGCTGCCATCATCACCTTGCCATCAACCACTGCAGGATGCAAACATCCTGGGACCCGATTGACACGATAACGATACTTTTCAGGGGCCATATGCAGCTGCAACTGTCCTTCAGGGATGACACGGGCCCCAATGTCCATGGCAGACAGAACGTCACTCCTCATTGTGACATGGTCCCATATCTGCGAGCATACTCCATCATACGTGGCTTCCTGCCCTCTTGCATGCGTGTATGTGTTGCCCTCCTCACCAATGAAAACTTTCTCTTCAACCACCTCCGAGTCCACAGGGTTCCGAAGCGGCGGGAAAAAGCAGCCAACGGTATGGGTATTACATGCCATTGCCTTCTTCTCGTCTTCTGACACCTCCCTGTCGAGGTGCCTGAAGGAGAAGTTGTCATTCACATAATGCGTGCTCCAGACATTTCCCATGGCATCACACATCATCATCCTCACACGGCCACATGGAATCGGGATCACACATGGCACCCAACCCCACCTAGGATCCCTCCTCGCATCGCTCTCGTGGCACGCCGTACTCCCTGTTGCGTCGTTCCCGCCAATCACCCATGCCTGTCCGCAATCAAAACTGTTGTACAAAAAATCGTTCAGCCTGAACTCGCCCTGCGCCTCCAGAACACGCCACATTTCCAATGCATATCGCCGTTTCACCTCTGTTGTTGCCCCATCGTTCAACCTTAATAGTCTGTCAAACACGATTGCCAGAGTCACGTTTCGCCATGTATTCTTTTTGGGGGCAGGAAATGGAACCCATGTCCCTTCGACTTTGAACGCAAAGCAGGGTGCTCCTCCAACAATACCCGATTGAACACGACCCGACACCCAATTGATGTCATATGGGTACTCTTCTCCTGCTGATGTCTTCACCACATTTTCATCTTTCACAATACACCCTGTCAGAGATTCCCTGCTTCCCATACCTCCTTCCTCTCTCTCTTCCCCAACGGTTTCCGTCTCACAAGTGCTCCCTCCTGCATCATTCTCTGTTTCATCACCATCACCCATCATCTCTGCAGTCTGTGCACATATTGTCGCAAGCACCTCTGCACAGTCTGCGTTGTTCCCTCCTGCGGAATTCCCTTCCTTGATGCCATCTGCAAAACCCTTCAGAATGTCCTCCGTCTCCATGGCGCATGTCTCTCCACCGTTGACAGTCGATGCAATCGCGGGTTTCATTTATTGCATGAGACACCACATACATTTATGAGAACACGTAGCTGCGATATGCCCCCCTCACCAGAGAGAGAGAGAGAGAGAGAGAGAGAGAGAGAGAGAGAGAGAGAGAGAGAGAGGTTCACTAGTGCGGGCCAGAAGGACAACAAACAACACTGGTGAACACTAATATGGCACGCAGTAGTGAACCACTTGTGTGTCGTGAGGCAAAAAGCAGCAAACATTATGGACATAAATTTACTCTAAGCAGAAAGTAATAATACAAGCAGCACTTAAACACACATCATAGTGTGTGTGTGTGTGTGTGTGTGTGTGTGTGTGTGTGTG